ACCCCAAGAGGAAGAGGACAAAAAGTGATTACTGAAAGAAAGGGTGGGAAAAATCAAAATACCCTTGTCCTTGTACTGAGGTTCTCTGTATCAGGACAAGGAAGGGTGCAGTTGAACAGGGAAATGTCCTGGAGAGGGGGAGAAAGCCACACAATTAAATTTCCTCAGGACACTTTTTAATGTACCTATTATAAGTTTTAACTGGGAATTTACTGCCTCGTCATGCCCCCCCTCCCCCAAGTCTAGAATGGACACAAATCGGAATTATGGTTGCAAATAAGGAATAGTTTGAAAAAGTGACCTGTTTCTGTTAACGTCTCCATCTCTGACTTTATAATGTATTTGGATTTAGGAAGACAATTTGGAAACTTCCATTTGTACAAAATGCTGGTACTGAAGTGATATGGGGAGGGACTGTGGCTCAGTGGAAGAGCCTCTGCTTTGCCCGAAGAAGGTCTCGAAGTTCAGTTCCCGGCATCTCCAGTTAAAAGGACCAGGCAGCAGGTGTTGTGAAAGAACTCTGCCTTACAGCCTGGAAAGCCGTTGCTAGTCTTGAATAGACGATACTGACTTTGGTTGACCAGTGGTCTGATTTAGTATACATGTATGTTATAACTATTTAATAATAGCTTTGTTGACTGTCAGTTACTTTTTGGGTTCAATTTTTGATGCTGGTTTTAGTGCCTATAAAGCCCTTCATATCTACAGAACTTCCACTTCTGTTAAATTCCACTGTAGCCCTGTTCACAAATTACAGTGAGAGCATGGCCTATCTGTGTACAATGTATATAGTTTTTCTTTATACATGTGTTGAGTAATTCTTATGTATGGCTGAATGTATGATTTAAACCCCAGATTTATCCAGGTACTGGTCCCCCGTTTCATATAATGAGTGCATGTTGGCTCTTTCTTACAGGTGGGTATATGTATGTACATGTAGGTTGCACATGCATTAACTGCAACATGTAAACAGGGCGAGTGTCAGCTCTGCTCAGATGAGCAGGGTCTCTTGAAGATCCACTCCTGCAAATAAGTGTGATCTGTTATAGTCCATGCATGGGCCTTTTCTACTGTAGCTCCTGCCTAATAGAACCACTTGACAGAGGAAGTTAGGAAAACTCACACTTCTGTCCTTCCGCAGACTATGCAAGAACTAAAGTACATGTTACAGCAGATACAGGTCCATCTTGTGGCTGCCAGCATCATTTTAGAGGGAAAATGAGCCATTTAAGAACAGTGCAGCAGCCAAAGATGATCTTCTTTCCCCCCTCTGTGCCTTTTAAAGCGTTGCTGGAACAATCTCCCCAAACAGGTGTTTTGGCGCTTGAGAAGCACACCTGGGATTAGACTCATGTCTGTTGTAATGTGTTGTTTGGCCCTAAAATAAAACTTTTTGGGAGGGCCTTCTTGTAATTAGGCTTGCTATTTTAAAATCTTGTTTGATAGAAGTTTTACTGATATTTATTAGTTTAAATATTATTTAACGTTTTTTAAAAAAACCTTTGTAAGCTTCCTTAAGTCTACTTTGATGAAGACTGACTAGAAATGTTGTAAATAGAAAATGCAACTTGTTTTGCTTTGCTTTTACACCTAGCATGAATCCGGCCCTTTTCATTGCTCGTCTCCTGGTCTTTGCCCTTGCTGTGGGGCACAGCATGCCCCTCTGTATCCCTGTTGAATACGTAATCCATGTGGAGAAGAGAGAATGTGCCTACTGTTTGGCTATCAACACCACCATCTGCGAAGGATTCTGCATGACATGGGTACATTTCTTACAAGATGCTGTTGAGTTTCTTCTCACTACTCTTGGTTAGCAATTGGATGAAAATGGTTCCTTCTCTTTAATTAAAATACACAGCAGAGTCACAAAAATGTTGCAAAGGGACGACTGTTTGAAATCGCTTTAAACAGGCTGTTTGCTCACTGCCAGACTGGTTGTTTTTGCTTAAAGACTAAGCACTCCACAAACATACTGACAACATACATTGTCAGTGCCCAAAGGCTTGCTTGCAAACTCGAACAGATCAGAGAATTATAGGGAGCAGTGGAAGAGAGCCAGTTTGGTGTAGTGGTTAAGTGTGCGGACTCTAATCTGGGAGAACCGGGTTTGATTCCCCACTCCTCCACTTGCACCTGCTGATGTGACCTTGGGTCAGTCGCAAGCTCTGGCACAGCTGTCCTTGAAAAAGAGCAGTTTGTGTCAGAGTTCTCTCAGCCCCACCCACCTCACAGGGTGTCTGTTGTGTGGAGGGGAAGGGAAAGGAGTTTGTAAGCCCCTCTGAGACACCTTTGGGTAATGAAGGGCGGGGTATAAATCCAATCTCATCATCTCATCTCAAGGAAACTGAAAACAGGAGGTGAAGTACCAGATCAGGTAAAGTCAAAATGAAGTGGAAGAGCAACACTTACAAAAGGAACTGTGATTATAGGACGTAAGGGAATCCCAATAATGAGGAGCTGCGACAGCGAATGGATGTGTAAAAGAAAAGATTTTCATATGTAATCAAGAAGCCATGGAATGAAGGGGAGGTTTATACAGAAGGAAAAGAGCAGATAAGCAAGTGAAGAGAGATAAAAAAGCTAATATTCAGCACAGAGGAAAGATAAATGCTGTGTACAATAGCTTTTCAAAGACTTTAAAGTTGTACTGGTGAATGATCATTACCAGACTTTCTCTTTCAGCTGCCCCATGCCTTTGAAGAACATTTTCTCTGTTTTGCTCTCACACACACACACACGTACTGGATCAGAATTAGCATCAGTAGAAAAATGTTCACATTAGGCTACAGAGTGGGTCAAACAGGGATCCAAAAGAAGTAGCCAAACAACAGAGCTTGAAACTAGTGAATAAAAAGTAAAGCTGTAAAAAGGATGTTGCAGTTAGGAAGATGAGAACGTGAAGAGAGAAATAACGTGAAGAGAATGACAACTATCAGGCAGAAAAAGAGATATTACTGATGTGGAACACATCTTGGTTACAGATTGAAGAACAAAGGATAAACACACACACACACACACACCCTGCACTAACTGTTCCTAAGGCAGGATACATAAATGGGCTTTCCCATACTGGAGGTTTTCAACCAGAGACTAAGCAGCCAATTGTTGAGAATGCTCTAACTTTGGGTTTCCTGCACTGAACTGGAGGGTCTGACTAGACAGCCTATTTAAGACCTCTTTCACTCTATGCCTCTATACCAAGATTAAGCAAGGGCAGAGAAACAGTTTGTAAAAGAGACTAGCATGGAAGGGGGGGGGGTTCTGGGCTTGAGATGTTCAAGAAGAAATGGCAATTAGACTTCAAAGAGAATGTAAAGTAAGAGAAAGAACCAGGGATACAACTTTAGGGTAAAAAAGCCATACAAAATCATAGGACAGGCCCTGATGGATAAGAGGTAGCTAAACAACAACAACAACACAGGGGCAAGGGCAGAGCTTTGGGAACACCAACAGAAAGGAGAGGTAGAATACGGCACGGGGGGAGTGACCATTGAGAGTGGGTGGATACCTAAAGAAGTAGGAAGTTGTTTTGTTTGCCTTGCAGCGAAAGGTTTGCTTGGGACAGATTAGTTCTAAGCACTTCTGGGAGGGTGACCACTGTCATCCTTCCTTCTGAGTACAACAAATGAGTTCTTAAGCAGGGAGGTTTTGAGCTGGACCCAAGCAATGTGCATTAACTAGTCACCTAAACTTTCAATGGACTTTCTCCAAACCATAATCATATGCTCATATAGCCTCACAAATTTGGCATTATGATGGGGCCTATACATGTGCTTGGCTTAGTTTGGAAATCTCTCACAAGGACTAAATAGCCTGTTTCAGCAACAAAAATATTGGCACCACAGTAGCCAGGCTGGATGTGTGTGAATAGACTATTTGAGCACAACACAAATTACCTGGGTGCATTTAGACAAAATTCTTCATGGAGATGGATTAACTGTTGGCGTTCCTTTACAGGACAGCAACGGTAAGAAGCTGCTGCCCCGGAGTGCCCTGTCCCAGGAGGTATGCACATACAAGGACATGGTGTACAGGACAGTGCTGATCCCTGGCTGCCAGCGCCATGCTGCCTCCTACTATTCCTACCCTGTTGCAGTGAGCTGCAAGTGTGGGAAATGCAATACCGACTACAGTGACTGCGTGCAGGAGGCCAGCAGGGGTGGCTATTGTGCTATACTCCAGAAACGCCGCGGCCCATGAAGTTCTGGCTAGCTGCAATATGCTCATGTACACACATGTTCCCGTTGCCACGTGGCAAATTACTGGCAGCCAAGAATAAATAGAATGGGTAGCATATTCAACACTTGTCCTATCAAATTATTCTTTGACAGAAAAAGGAAACAAAATCAGCTATTTTTTAATTTGAACTAGAACTGAGACATTGCAATGCCTGTGGAATAAACCAGTATTGCAATATGCACAAGTGAAGTTACAAGGATGAACTTTCAAAGCATGTTTGTCTGAAGAGGCATAGTAGAGAGAACGAGGACTCTGTTGTTCTGTATTCATTCTCCTTGAGAAAAAGTGAAAGGAGTTATGGTTTCTTTCTAGGGATCTGAAGGCTAGAAGCTTTAAGTTTATTAGGAATGACCAGTACAACCATAGAGAGAACAAATTATTGGCTTTTAGGATGCAAATGAAGGGACAATGTTGTATTGCTGTCAGGAATATATTTTCCCATGAGACATTGCTGATTATGCTTTTGCTTCTGGAGAAGACCTATGGTTCTCTGAATGACACCTTGTGCCCTATTATGGAGTAATTTTAATACATTTTGCAGCAAATGAGGAAGCCTTACTTGCTCAGTTGAGGCAGTTTGCAGTGTCTTACAGGCTCAGCATTGTTGCCCATGGTCTAGTGAATGCAAGGGCCTTGTGGCAGCCATATTTCACATGCTATTTGGATTGCATATATGCACAAAAAGAAGCTGTTTTCATCATGCAATGGGCAGTGAAAACATACTTTGGCTCTAGGCAGGAAAAAGTGGCACAGAGCAGACTATTAATCTAGATAAGCCATTTGAACCCTTTAGAAAATTGGGAGGGTAAATTTCCAATTAAGCAAGCAAGTTGGAAATGTTCATAGAACAAACACCAATGTATTTATCAGATTAGAAGGTAACAGAAGAACTGAACAGAGAGAAATCAACACATCTCATCCATGTTCAGTTCAGGCCTTCAATAAGAAGCATAGATCCCAAAGGACACCCGGCAAGGGCTTAACAGATACAAGCACACACACAAATTGTCATTACACAGGTCTGAATCTTTTTTATTGTGCCAGGGTAAAGTGTATGTCTCTTGCACCATCTACATGGAATATGTGGTATTTCTAGAGACCAATTTATACATCCTCAGTAAAGAACATATACCACTTCCCCTCTCCACCTTGATGGAAGCCTCTCAGGTGAGCCCAGTGATCTGAACAGTAAACTTAGCATACAGATAAACTGCTTAGCAGTCTGGTTGCAAAACATACCATTAACAAGCAGGCATACTCTATAGCTTCCAGTGAAGCTGTAGTAGGTTCTGGAGAGCACTCCTGAGAATTTGTGGATTGACACGACATTTACAAATGTCTTCACTTGCAAAACCTAGAGTGGTTGCCCAAGTGCCCTGCTACCTTTACATCATCTAAAGTTGCTTTGACAGAGAACAGTTGCCACAGGAACCAAATTCTTTACTTTAAGGTATGGTTGCAAGTTATAAACACAAATCTGTATATATATATAAAATCACACACTTGTTTCCCAGTTTACTCTTGCTGACTGAGATAACAACAAAGGTAATTTTGTTGACTCTCATGCCATCGTGGCTGGAAAGATTGCAGCTGGGGCTGGTCAATAACAGGTACACAATTCCAAGCGCAAATTGCCGCGCCTAGTTCTCCCAAAAGGATTTGGCCCCACGATTGTTATTTAAAAGATTTTTGGTTTTGCATTACGTATAAACAAACAAAAAAGGTTTCCTGATCCATTCTCCTGTGGTCTGGCTCACTAAAACAAGCCTGAGTCATTGCATTCTCAGAGGCTCCAGTCTCTCAACTCCCAGAGTTAGAAGACATGCCTCCACTTTACAGATGTCTGACCTTGGTATCACAATTCTGACCTTTAAAGTCACAAGAAATCCCATATTACAACCTAGGCACATAGGCTCCAGAATCCTGGTAACAGTGTACCAGGCCATTGGTTTTGACTCCAGGTTGCCCAAAAGAGAAACATCTGTGAGTCAATATGAGCTGCTGTTGCTTTCTTGTGAGTTGTCTGCTGGTGGTCCTTGTGGATTCCATTCCAGTAGGTCCAAAAACGAGAAGGTGGGTCTAGGGGGAAAGTCCTCGATACTGGCACAGCTCGATGAGAAATTCTCCGACGCCAATAAAATAAATACACTGGGCTATACCAAAGAGTGGTGCAATAACCAGTGCTCTGCAGCCAGCTCCCTTTAAGAAGGCTAAGGGGCCCTCATTCATCCAAATCTTCCTGAGAACAGAGAACAAAACATAGCATATTTGAGTACAAGGCTCTACAACACGTTAATTAAAGATTATTTCAACTTGGCTGTGTTCACATCTCATGTATTCATCCTGAAGTGTCTATACATGCCCCTCGCGAGAACCTGAACACCTGACTTCTTCCCTAAACTGTAATTCATCTCACCCTCTCCATACAGGCCTTAAACATAAGGGATAGGAACATACCAAAAATATACCAGCAAGCTTAGGACCAATTTAAATGCTATGGAAGCTGTTGAAAATCATTACTCCTTGACCATCCACCATACTGTTGTGGAGTTACTCCCACTCATACTTCGACACATGGAAACAGAAAGTCTTTTTGAGAATTATTCTAAAGCAACACATTAACCACTAAACCATAAGGCTGTGTGAAGAATGATCACTCTCTCCAGTTATCATTCAGTGCAGGTACTACTCTTTTGACTATAAAGTGTTCTGTAATTTGTTTATTCCAAGTCTTGGTGAAAACCTTGTATCCCAGCCAATGATCACTCAATATTGTCATTTAAACTTGTGTCAAATCACTCCGGCTATTCTTGAATACATTCAATAAACCAGAATCACAATTATACACAAAACACTAGGATATGTAAATGATAAATAAAAAGCATAAATGACATCCCATCTTCTACCTAGCCTGCAATGAAAGATAAAACTCAATTACTCCTACTCGAAAGCTCTTCCGCCAGGCTTTCGAGTAGGAGCCGCCGCCGCCACCATTATTCCACCAACGCTTTTTCCATCACCGCACTCTACCACCGCTGGTGCGGGTATCATCGGGGGTGCGAGACGTCCCTGGCGGATGACAGGGTTGTGGGGACATATACTGCTGTTGTTCTGTTATAACATCTTCAGAACACCATCTTGGTTTTATGATTCGGAGTGAGTATCAGAGCACCGATACTTTTAATAACTGTATTATGCTGTATTATTGTATTTTTATACTGTTCTTATTGTTTTAATCTGGTGTTTATGCCCTTGTTAGCCGCCCTAAGCCTCCGGGGAGGGCGGGGTACAAATCTAAAAAATAAATAAATATAAATAAATAAATAAAAATATGACAATCTCATCGCAACCCAAATTTGAGAGATTCAACGGTTTTAGGGTGTGGCTGTCTTATACTGACATAATTGCGTAAGCCTCACATGACTTTCTTACACCATTTTCTCTAAAGGTGTGATTAGAACACCTCTGAGCATTCCAAAGAATAACTGTTGCAAACTCTGTTCCATCTGTTCTGGGATTTATTCAGAACATAAAGTCATTATCTTTCTCAAGGCTGGAGCAATAGGAAAAACACATGTTTGCAGAGTTATCACAAGAACCTAGAAGCAAACTCTCCGGCCTACTGTGTCCAAACATCCTAAGTGATTTAAAGTTCACTGGTGTATTGTAAATAAATACATAGACAGCGGTTTAAAGTCAAAATCCACACCAATACCCTGACCGTGATATCTGAAAGCTACTTTAAATATGGTCTGCCCTAGATGCATGGAGACTCTTCATGGCAGCACCATGCAGTTTTGGCAGCTGCTGGCAAGCACGTTTTCTATAACTGGTTTAACCACAAGGAAACACTCGTTTAAACATTTAAAACTGTGTGCTTAGTATTGGTCAGTTTCTTGCATCTTTAAACATTCACAATTATCTCCATTTGACTGCACAGATACTCTGGCCAAAACTGTAAGGTTGTAACCAGGCTTGAAGAAAAATGTCCTGTGCCTTTAATAAAGACAACGGGATGTTATTTACAAGCTGATATTATTTACCTCCATGGCATCAAAAAGCTTCAGTTGTCCATTTCTACCCATTAAGCCTTTATTAAAGGGACAAGACATTCTTTTCCAGGTTAGGAGGAAACCCTACATTGATCTGTCTGAGAATCAGCTCAAAAGGCACAGCATGGGCATGTCTTCTTGAACATTTAACCCTTATACTCTTGCAGAACTATCTAGTTCACAGGCCTTTATAGGTTTTTTATTCCTTACCTTGCACAATCTCTAATTCCATTATAGTTTTCCTCATTTCTTCCCTTGCCCATTGCCTGAAGACGAGTTTTTATTACTGCAAAACAAAGTATTAATTGGCAGATTAAAGGACTAATGCAGGCACGGGTGAGAATGTGCCTCTGTAGCATTTTGCCTTTCCCTTTGCTTTAAAATTCATCCTAAATACAGAAACCTTCCCTGCCCAGAAAATCCAAAACAGATAAAGACTAGCTTCCAAGAATGGAGAAGAAAAATAATTTTCCCAGTAATTTCCTATGCCTATCAGATGGATCAGCACCATACACAATAAATCACAAAAGCAGGAAAGAGGTATTCAAAATTTCTCTTACCATCACAAGGATTGACGGACACAGCTGCCACTGAGCCAGCCATGCAGCCAGCCAGGAAAGAATGAAAGAAAGGGGCCCTTTCCTCCAAGGAATCCTGTTTTGCTTTGTTCAGATGGTCAAATAGTGGGAAGTAGATGATGGAAAATGGGACATCCCTAGAAAAGAGGAGTCATTCATTTACATAAAACCATACAGAGAACAGGTATGGGAATCAGAAAAGCAAGAAGGCACCTTTCTAACCTCAGCAAGGTGGCTCCAAGGCCTTTGTAGAGTCCTTTAATGCCCTGTGCATGCAGCAGCTCGACTGCTATCTGTGTTGCAGATATCCTCCTTGGAAGGACAGCAGGTCCCACGTTGTAAGCTCTGGTCAAAACAGGGCTCACAGCTACAAGCTTGCATCCAGGAGTTGAACAGTGAACTCTGCTCACAAACTGTTGTGATGCTGAAACAAAAGTAGATAATGGCCCTGGTCACACGTGCCAGAAAACATGGAGGGGGGAGGCGTGGCTATTTGCGGCGGCGCAATTAGACCCGCGACAACGCAATCAGACGTGGCGGCGGCAAACCACGTTTCCATCCCTTGGTGCATGTGCTTCAACAAAGACGGCCGGAGGGGAAAAGCTGCAGCGGCGTGATCACACGGACAGAGTCCGTCGGCAGCCTGTGGCAAACCATTTGCCAGTACTTTTGGTCAGGTACTTTTTAACCACGCATTTTTGGCGGCACTACACGAGTTGGCCACAGGTGCGCTACGCCTGCCAGATGTTGCGGTGTGATCGCGCCCAGAAAATCCGCCCAACATTCATGGCTCTCCTGTGGCAAATTCGCTGTGTGAATGGGGCCAATATATATCAAGCTCATTGGTCTACTTAAGATTCTTATTTGGATCTCTCTCACTATCAGTATGAACTGATCCTGGATGCATTTGAAAGTTTGCATATGTAGCAAGGTTTCCAAGGACCTAATCTTCACTTTGTCCCACAGGCCACAAAGTTTGAGGATCAGGGATGCCTGGCTACAACAACAACAGACCTTTGTCTCTTGGTGCTGTCTTCCATTACCTTATTGTCCATCACTGTTCTGTTCTACAGGGCATCACGTACACATGTCTGATCCTGATTTTACAAAGTAGTTCATATGCTTCCCTTTTTACAGTTCTATTCTTCACCCTCTGGCTTCATAACTAAGAAATATTACCTAGTTCTAGACCTACATTGTGGCTCTATGGCCTTTTGAATTACAATTTTAGCTCAATTCATAAGCCAATACTCAGAGCTTAACATATGCATACAGGTACACGATATTGTAACCTAACTTGCCAGAATCACCATCCAAAGCAGGATATTACAAAATATTAGAAATCTTTACTTTTAGGAATCTCAAACCCAAGATGATGTCCTTCACAAAGAATATATGACTGCTTGATAAAGCTTTGCTAACTCCCTAAATAGAGGAAAAGATCAGACCATACACTACTAGCTGCAATTATTCTCATATTCTATGGAACAAACCACCAAGTTATAACTGATGTGCCCCACAGTAATCAGAATGAACAGAAGTTGAAAAATGAGTAAGAGTGAGCATCTCAGGTAGGTACACCTACTAAGGTTTGTGAATGAGCTGTACAGAGAAACTCAACCTGTATGAAAAGATAGAACTGATTCTCAGAGATGTGCTGGATATACTGAGGAAACCAGCACGTGCAGTTACCTAGTCTCCCTGCATCCTGCAGCTGGATTTTCAGCATCTCCATAGGAGTTGTGATGATAACTTGGCAGGTTCCAGCACCACAGCCTGCCATCATCTCCTTAGCTAAAGACAAGGTCATTCTGTAACCAAGAAAACAGAACAGTTAAGGCAGAGCAAACTCAGTTGCTGATCAAAATTCATGCAGGGTTGTCATGCTCTCTCTGTTCACCAAATACATTATTAACAAGCTAGCTATAAAGGAGAGACACTACATAGTCTCTAAGGCCCCTAGAACCCTATAGTCTCTATAAGGCCAGGCTCTCATTAGCCTTTTTCATGTGATCTACTGCTGATATCGAAATAAAGGAAGCATAATGAATTGTCAGCATTTAGACTCTACTCCCCAGTTCTCCTGCAAACGCTATATACCTCATTAGAGGTTCAGGCATTAGTTTGGGCTATTAGTTTGGGCTAAATCACACTGCCCCTCTCTCTCTCACTACTTGAGGCCCCGGTCACATGGGAGGTTTTGGCCCGGAAGAGGGACGGATCGGAGGTGCAGCAAACAGGCGCGATCAAACCGCAACATCTGGAAAGCGGCGCGTCCCCGTCCCCGATCCGTCCCTTCAGCCGGAAAACCTGCTGCAAAAAAGAACCTGCAAAAGAGCAGGACTAACCAGAAACGGCGCAGCAAGTGTGGCTGTGAGGTCACCAGTGCGCCCGTCTTCCGGAGCAATTGAGGCTCCTGGCTGAACTGCGCATGCGCACACATGCGCAGTTCAGCTGCCTCGCTCTCCCTTCAGTGGCTTCCCCCCAGCATCTGATCGTGCCGGGGAGGAACTGCGTGGCTCAGGGGATCTATCTGATCCCACCGCCGCGTGTCTCTTTTGGTGCGACTCTAAAAAGCCGCACTTTGGACGTTCTTTCCCCCCCCGTGTGGCAGGGGCCACAGTCTTTCCCCACCTCTCTTCCAGCACATTGGTGCCATTGCTTTCATTTAACCATTCACCTGACTGATTTTATTTTAAAACATGACTACTTCTCAATCTGATAATGCTTCTCTGTTTCCTACCTTCCTTTCCCCTGTCTCACTTCATAAAGTTTGCCACAATGCACAAAACATGCAATTCTTCCCTGCAAGGTGATCATGAAACCCTTTACTGAGTTTTGCACTATTTGTTGCATTCACAGAAGAAGGTCTTTGAACTCAAAAATGAACATAGACTTAACTTATATAAACTGTAAACGAGATAGTTGTAACATCTCGGATAACATACCCATCCTTGGCCAAGAGATGCCTAAAATAGTCATTAGCAGCCAGTTTGATTGCCTTCTCAGGTGTTACGAGGGTCAAATTCACAGCAGCACCTAAAAATAAGAACACATGCTTAATTGCAACCAAGTGGCATTCTTTGTTTTAAAAATGTAATAAAACAATAAATTACATTCTGTTGCAGTTTAGTATGAGAGTTTTTCAGGTTCCAGTTTGTAGAAGATAGAGTCAGTTGTAATTGACTGCCACTTCATGAAATTTACTGTGACAGGCATACATGCTATAGTTTTCAACACTGCAGGCTGTCCATCAACTTTAATACACTTACTATGAAGAAAACAGCCACAGGACTGCAGCTTTAGAAGCGGTAATGTTCCACACACTTGCACAAATATGTTGCACACATCTGAAAACTACGTCTGAATAATCCCAGGTAGTGGGGCTGATCACATTAGTCTTTCCCATGGAACTAGCACTCTCAGTGAGGTTCTGATTTTATGGGGAAAGACCTATGCAATCTATCTCACTTTGCTGGATCATTTAGACACTATGGCTATGGGTATTTCTAAAGGATATCTTGTTTCCTGGCAAGTTATGTGGAGAACTGCTGCCTGTCTCTATTTCCTTTCCCTCTTCAGTCTCCTCCTGGTAAGTATCTTGTTGCAAATTAGAAAGGGATGACAGCCAGTATCAGAACTGGAAGCTCATTCTGCTCTTCTGGAGTACAGCATTGCACCACTACTAAAATGTCAGTAAATCTGAAAAATGAAACTGTATCTCATTCTGCATGTTTTTGTTCAAAATCAGGTTTGAACTCTTTAATCCAAATGCTTAAAAATGAGGGGAAATCCATAAAAAATTGTGATCACCTTTTAACATTCCAGACAAAATGAATATCACAAAAGGGGCTTTCTGCATTAATTAAAACACATGGAAAAGGCTCACCTCTATACATTCCAAAATAGCCTTCTGAACGTAGTGTTTTAATTAGACAATCCAACCTGAAGAAGATACAATGAACAAAGCAGTCAGACAACCTCTGCTTCCAAGACATGGCTTGTAAATCGCTGGACAGAATCTTTAAAATCTTCTAGTTATTGTTGTAATATCTACCTCTCTTTGATTACTTCCAAAAAGAGATGATTCCCTATTCTGTTCTCATTTGCCACCAAGAATGCAGAGGCATTTGCAGCAGAATCACAGCTTCCACACAAAAATATTTTCTGTGCTTTACCCAGGTACTTGTGACCACCAATGGTAGTAGGTATAATTCTATAGTAAGACACTATATGCAGTTGTTAGGGAAAATGGGGAGGAAATTGTGCCAGATGTAGGTGGGGTAGCCTCCCACCCACACAGATCCCTGCACGCTTTGAATACAACCTTTCCAGAAAGATCGTACCAAAGCAGGTTTTGGGAAAAATGCAGCAAAGCTGGGGAAAACCCAGAAGATGGAAGACCAAATTGACAATGTCATGCAAAATCCCCCTTGCCTGCCCCCCATCTGCTGTGGTTTGAAAGAGAATGCAAAGCAAAATCTCTGTGTAGAAGCAAGTCTTTCCAATAATTAGATCTTTTTAGAAAAATGTTAACTTTATCAACAAGAGTCAAAGAAAACATAACATTATCATAGCAAGTGAAATATAGCATATGACAGATTCAGGTGGGTAGCTGTGTTGGACTGAAGCAGCAGAACAAAGTTTGAGTCCAGTTTCCTAATAATCCAACATCTAATTTGAAAATGGACACTGGTACCAGAGCTTGCAATAAATCCAGATGCCAACTTTGCTGCCACATACACCCAGACAGCACAATCACTGAACCTAACAACATTAACTACACCATCTCAGACTTATTCACATGCTCATCGTCTAACACTGTATATACCATTAAATGCCAACAATGCCCTTCAGTTCTCTACATAAGGTGACCTCAAAGTAGCTGTTTTATTGCAAAGGAACTTCAGGAACAGACTAGAAAGGAAAAATTGCTGAGTTGTAAGTTATTACAACACTCAGGGCAGTGGAATCCCCGGGACTTAACAGGGATACTGGTTTCTCATCTCACTGCATATGCTAACCTCATCCAGCCCTTACATCTGTATTCTTACCAATCCCCCTGATTCCATATGTCCTCTTTATTTTATTTCTTATTTGGAATAATAGATTAGAATAGTAGATTGTAATGTACCATAATGAACAGGAGAATGTAATGTAATTTGGAATGGTAGATTGGAATGTATTTATCTGGTCTGGGGACAAGGGAGATAACTCTACACAGCCAATTGCCCCACTTCAAAGAAGAAGATGCTGTAAGGTCACCTCCATGTTTGAGAAGAGATGGATGGAGCGTAATGGCAGGGTCTCAGTTAATTACTCTCAGCATTCCACAATTAAGGATACATCTGCCCATCAATCTCCAATTTTGACATATTTATTTCCTTCACTATGTCCCCCCCCCTCCCCCGGAATTAAACCCCAAGAAATGGTAACCATATAAACTAAACTTGTTATTCCTGTTTGGTCTTTGAATCTGTTAACCATCTTCATTATGCTGTATACTAATTTACTGCTCACCCTCTACCTAGATGTACGGACTGGTAATTTCCATTTCATTGAATCTGAAGAAGTGTGTGTGCACACAAAAACTTATACCTTGAATAAAACTTGGTTGGCCTTAAAGACGGCATATGACAGTACACAATTATTCTGTTGAGTCAGGAGATAAAAAGGCTCATTTTCCAAACAAACTGTTTGTTTCCCTCACACTTGTATGTAATTGGTTAATTTAACCACTTAGCTAACACTCCATACTTTACACTATCAATCCATTATTGATAGTAGATTTGTTTTATACGTATCTGCAAACAATAAAAAAGGGCTGTTCTAATACAAAGGTAACTAACATACAATAAGCATAGAATGCTGCATAACTACAGAAAGTCTTATCTAAAATGAAATTATGAGTTGCTAAAGAAGCCAAACACAAATGCAACGGTGCTTTGGGAATAGATTTTCTATTTCAGAAGATATATTAAAGAAACTAGATTTATGGGATCACATTAATCAAGTTATCAAAAGATAACTTACATGCTTTTGTAGATTTGCTGCCCGGTCCTCTGATTCTGTAGCCTGGTTTTAATCAGGTCAATAGGAAATACACAAGTAACTCCAATGATTCCGGCAGTTCCTCCATTGATGAGCTTTGCAGGCAAACTGAACAAGAGAAAATACGCCTCAGCTGAATACAAATGGCCTAAGAATAATTCAGAGTTTTTCTGAGCTATGCAGAAGCAATGCATCACCCCAGTGTTTCACTGAGATGCCTCAAATGTCCATTTCTTTAGACTGATTATTAGCTCCTTGCTGCTTTTTGCATGAACACAATCAAACATTTAAGGCACCTGTGTTCCTGTGCCGTACATGGTAAAAACACAAATGCACAATATTTACAAATACACACAATTGGCTACAACTACTTAGTGCGATACCACATTAATATTCTTAGATCTTCCATTTTCTCTGCAAAAATGTGGACCGATTCCACAAAAGCAGTTGTTCCGCCCTCGGTCTCCCATTTCCACCAGTTGTACTGCTCAATTTCCCACTATTTGCTGCGTGGATGCATTTTGACCTGCATCTCCCCTGATTTCCCCTGCGTCTTCTTGATCATAAGGATCAAGAAGATGTGAGGGGCAGTGTTCCCTCTAGGCTGAGTTAGTGTGAGCTAGCTCACAGTTTTTTAGCCTCCGGCTCACACATTTTTGTCTCCGCTCAGGAAGGAGGGCTCCAGAGCAAACTGATTGATGCAGCAGCCAAATCGCTCGCTCACCACTTGAATGCCAGTAGCTCACAGAGTAGAATTTTTGCTCACAGGACTCCACAGCTTAGAGGGAGCATTGGCGGGGGTAATCAGGGGGAGATACGGTTCAAAATGTGGCCGTGCAGCAAACAGTGGGAAACTGAGCAGTACAACTGGGGGAAACAGGAGACCGAGGGTGGAACAACTGCTTTTGCGGAATTGGTCGTGCTCTCCTCTCGTATTCTCCCTCCAGTTAAATCATTAGCTGTTAGCTTCTTTCACTACAGTCCTGCCTAGGCACAACATTTCATTTAAGGAGGTGGGGCCCAGCCACTCCACCACATGTTTAAACCAAATGTGATTATTCAGGAGTACCACAACAAATTACCTCAAATGCACTACTATTCTGCAGTTCTGTCTGACATATTTCTAAGACCAAGTCCTTGATCTTTTATGAATCTCTCCAGATCTTTCTCTGCTAGTTAGTTCTCTATGTGTGGTTTATACTAGAACAATTGTTATGCATTTGATTTTTAATGCACTTGTTCTCCTGCTCATTCTTTACCCCTGTCACAAGTAGATGTTTATGCTGATGCTTTTTTAAAAAATATATAATTTTTTAAAATGTAGAAAAGACACATACCTGATCTGTTTTTCTGCCATCTTCTTTGGGACCACACCAAAGGAAAAGTGTTTCAAGCTCTTTTTTGGTCAGTAATACCAGCTGCCAATGGCAAAAGGTTGGTTCCCTCTAAGAGACAATTCTGTCTAATCTCTGTGGAGTGAATTGAAGCTTTAAAATCCATCCGTTCTATAAATAATCCAAAATTCTTTCATTGGCTGCTCAAGAATACAGGCATTTCAAACAGCTCACACCATATCAAATTTAGTATGACAAATCAGAATATACTCTCATGACTGCTGTTACACCAAGTGTCATCATCGGTTATTAATACCAGAACTGCTAATTTGTGCCATAATGAAAATGCAACAGAAATCTAGGAATGCCTGTGAAGTTGTAGGTCAGGATGACACTGTTTGATGGATGACACTATTTGATGGAAAGAAAGGTGAATATCTGATATAATTTCAAAGTATGATTTTTTTTCTGTCAGCACAAATATTGACTTGGGCTACGAAGATTTACTAAAGAGTAACTATGACGATCTAGCCCACTTCCCTCCCTGTCTCTGAGGCAAGATTTCCCCTCCATTTTTATTTCCCTTTTTTACTGAGCAGCCCTAATCGATTTTCTTCTTTTCTGAAGAACTATGGCTGTTTCATTATGTCACAGTAATATGAAATTTTGCTGCTGGCTGAGCCCAGGAACCCAACAGAAGGGCTGAGATTTGCCCTTTAACTTACACTACTGAAATGGCACTCAAGAAGCTTTTTAAAGTTCAAAAATAACAAAATATTTTATTCAACATAGAAGGGAAAGGTCAGATGAAAACAAGTGTAAAATTTCTGAAGTTAATCAATATAGGTACAGATTACAGTTCATACGTTTCAAGCTTTTCTTAAGCTTTTCACAGTGACTTAGAATCTTTAAAATAATAGGCTTTTGTTTCAGTGTTTCCCAAACACTCCAGTATACTTTCTTGAGCGTATTTGGCTCTTTTGGTTTCCAGAAGGCAGGGATACTCTGTCTATTACCCAAACTCCTTCACTAAACACACCAATACTTTTCTTGAGTTTCAGCTGACTCCTCGGGATTTAAAAGGCAGTTTCTAAACATACCAGACCAGGAATCACTCCACTCTTCAGAGCTATCTCCGTTTTCCAACTGGGTAGGGAAATTCTCCCACTAGAAGACCTATCCCCTTTTCTGGCCTGAATGGGAGTCTTCACCTTACCTACTTCTCCTGCCAACCTCCCCAGTACTCTGCCTGAATGGGAGTCTTCACCTAACTACCTATTTCTCCTGCCAACCTCCCCAGTACTCTCTCTATGTTCAACTGCTCTCATCAGGGCTAAACACAAACCCTCTCAGCACTAATCCCTTCTCTGTCATGGCTAGACTCAGACTCGTCAGTACTAGATTTTTCTTAGAGCAGAATTCAGACTCAGTCAGCAGCACCCAACTCTTCTTTGTCAGGGCTACTCAGACTTCTTCTCAGTATTTAGTTTTGAAATCCCTTCCTGCTCAACTGATGCTAACCAACCAGATCTCTTGGAGCAGCTTGTCACTCAAGGCACTCTGGCTCTATGAGGAATTAACCCTTCACAGTCCTTTATCTGTTTACACACCACTTACGATCTTTTAAAGGGCAGTCTGTCACAGTGACAAATCCTGATAAGTATCTTTGTTATGTCTGTTTCAGCAAACACAGACAGAGGTCCTATGATGCCCTAAAACAGTGATTCCCAAACTTTTTGAAGTGGGATCCATGATTAAACTTACTCAGCCTTTTGGGACCAACCAGCAAAGTCACTCCACACTGCTTTTCTACTCCCCAACATAAAATGTAAGAATCTCACACCAGCTAAAAAGAGTAAGAAGAAGAAGAGTAGGTTTTTATACCCTGTTCTTCTCTACCTTAAGGAGTCTTAAAGTAGCTTACAGTCACCTTCCTTTCCTCTCCCCACAACAGTCACCTTGTGCTGAGAGAACTGTGACTGGTCCAAGGTCACCCAGTTGGAATCAAACCCTGTTCTCCAGATTAGAGTCTGCTGGTCTTTAAACCACTACACCACATTGGCTAACGTTGAAGCAGTTTATATTCTATTTTTCATGTTCAATATTTATAAGTACATAGCATTACAGAGGTAAAGGCTAAATTTCATGGCCATTTCTACACTTCATGCAGATGAAAACCAAATTTGCCATCAAACCTCCAAGAGCGTTCCCTCCCAGTTTACTTACTCCTACCATGGCTCAGCAACTCAGTTCTGGGTCTCTGACCCATAGTTTGAGGACTTAACCCATTTATTGTGTCACAGATTTTCCTGAAGTGACAATAAATAGTCTTCAAAAGAAGTTGCGTGTCACTTCAGTTTACAATGAACTCATAAGATGTACTTTTGAATAAACGTATTTAGGTTGCATCACATGACTTCCCACCTTCATTGTAACAAACGGGCAGGTGGATGGTTACATTCATCTGTCAGACTGCCACCTCTAAGGAGGAAAAGAATGCCCACATAAATACTTACTAATTCTATTAACTGACATGGATCCATGGTTTCTTTTGTTCTGGTCACAATTTCGATACTTTCCCTATTGGAAAATAAGATATACCGTGGACAGTGTAATCAATCTACACAAGGAATAGCAACATTAATATGATGAAATATGTCTGAGCAATGTCAATGTCACATGTGGACTGCCAGCTGAATCACTGGGAATTCCCTGGGCTCTTGGTGAGACAAACACCTGTGGCAGCCCGTTAAAAGAGTGAGTAACCAAGCCACCCTTGGGAATAAAGTTTCCAGTACTAATATCAGAGAAGTGTGCTTTGCACAGACAATGGTCTATTATTAGCTTGCACTGATAGGCAGATAGTGGCCTATATAGCCCACAGGGAAATTCCAGCTGCAGTACGGAAGAGTCTCACATTTCAAAAAGGCACCTTAATTCTGCACAATTGCTAAGCAGTAGAATTACACTGCCATGATTTACTGTCCAGTGAGATTACCAAAGGCAAGAATAAATCACCATTATAATTCTTGCCTGAGGAAAAGTAGGGATATTCATTTCTTTTGATTAAATTTATAGAAAAATAACAAAATAAAAATTAAACACTAAAATATTTACCCCAAATGAATTAAAAAAGTACAGCCAATGCACATAAATATTCTCTTTCTCATTATTTTATATATAAAAAACCCCTAAAATTCACTTAACCTCTTTCCTTTGATTTTGAAGCCTTTTTTCAACATAGGATACAAACTATTTATTTGCACTTGTGCAGTGGATGGCCGAACTCAAAGAGGAATAAAATGTGCAGAAAGGAGTCTGTGTTCATATTTACTGAGGGAACTGTATCACTAGAGATTTTACAATAGAATACAGCACCTGCAACCACAAACAGGAGACTGCAACCAGAAGGTACAAAACTTTGTTGGGTTAGCAAATGGGCTGCAAATGTGGTATGGAAGTCACTGAGTCTAAGAGTAATTTTCTGCATCTGTTCCCATATATTGGGGACAAGTACAAGAAAAGTACAAGGCAGCACTTGATCAAATAACTGCTTATTGTGAGACAGAGAGAAAAGCTGCAGCAGTCTCTGTAATGCCAGATCAGAAGGGAATAATATTAGCAGCACACCCAGAAGCTGCACTTCACTGAAATGTTTTGCATAAGGAGGGTATGACAAGACTTAGTTCTGGATCATCACCATCTCTAGTCTAAAATGTAAACATTATGAGCATTTCAAACATACATGAAATTTCACTCTTCCCACTGGGAAGTAAAGGGGCTCAGCTGGCAGGGAAGGATCAGTTGGGAGCTTCCAGCCAGGGCTTTTTTCTCTGCAGCATTCTGACAGTTGGCTTCTTGCCAGAACAGCACCACAAAAGGCTTCAGACAGAACTGCATACAATGGCGCTACTACCACCAGCAGCTGAAGCCTGATTCACCCCGTCCTGTTGCTGGCTCCTTTTGTTTTAGTCAGAAGGTGAAGGAAAGAGAATGAAGCACCTCCACCCCTCCATCATCCTTCCTGACCCAACTGTCACTTTCCTGCAGAACGAAGGGGTGTGTGTTTGTGTCTGTTGGACCTAACAGTTCACATCAGCATAAGCGGTTGTAGAGCCCACTTCTTCAGATGCTCGAACACTCTGGTGGATTTACTGGGCTCCAGGAGCCGGCTGAGCTAAAATGCAACAGATGCAGCTTCCCCACCCTAGAACAGTACTGCAGGGCTGGAAAGAGCTTCTCCGGCTGGGGTTGCCGGTTTCAGGATGGAAGATTCCTGGAGACTTGGGGGTACAGCCTGGGAGAGGGGTTTATGGGGAGGGGATGGACCTCAGTGGGGTATAATGCCATGCATTCTACCCACCAAAGCAGCTGTTTTCTCCAGGTGATCTGATCTGTCACCCTTTGGAGAGCAACTGTAATTCTGGGAGGTCTCCAGGCTCCACCTGGAGGCTGGCAACCCTGTCTCCAACGAAGCTGTTGCTCATCACACAGAAACCTTCCGGGAGGGGGGATACTCCCGGCTTGCCCAACCCTGAGCTCAAGACGCTTCTCGTGCCCACGAACTGCCCAGCCAAGACCGCGCCTATGAAAGGCAATAGGGGGAGGCAGCCGAAGCTGCGGCCCTGCTCGACGCCCTCTTTTCGAGACGACTGACGAGCAGCGGCGCTGCGCTTCGAATTCCGCGCACCTCAGCGCTTCTCCCCGCTCCCCCGTCACTCACCCGACTCTTCCCAGAGCAGCGCCTCCGTTAACAGTCGACGCGGCAACCCCCATTCCGTGGCCAGATGAGTCTCTCCCGCCACTACGCGGGGCGCGCCTTGATTGGGCGCGACAAGAGAGCCCGCCCAATGACAGAATGACTCTCCTCCTCCCCCCCCTCCCGCAGAAGTGCACAACGGAGGCTGTTAAAATGTTTTCAGGGGGGGGAAATGGTCGCAGTACTTTATTGGGTCAACCAAATTAATACAAAACACTGTGCAAGCTTTCCAGCTCACGAGATTGTTCGTCAGGCCAGATTTATAGAAGGGTGTAAAGGAGATCTCTAGGCGCGGTGTAAAGGTCTGATCTTTCTGGCTTAAAATACGTGCAGCACAGGAATGCGTTTGTGTTGAATTTTAAACTCGTCT